GGGTGGTGGGACAATCAGAGCCCGGGCGGCTTGTCCAGGGGTGCGGGGCGGGGGAGTTTGCGCCACTATGTGCACCCTAGCCAAGGCCCAGGGGGCACGTATCCCCTGATCTGTGCGCAGGATTTAAGTGGCTGCAGCTGCAGGCTGCACTCCTCACCCTGTTGCAGCTGCTGCTGCCTCTGGACCGATGTGACACCATATGCATCCTGCCACCAGATGGGAAGTGGGTGTCGTGCAGCCCAGTGCTGGCAGGCATGTGGTGTGGTGCCACTCCTGGAGCAGCTGCAGCAGGGCGCAAGCACACTGCACAGAGGCAACTGCCTCAGCTCCATGTACAGATTGGGGGCACATGCCCCTTGGGCCTCCCCTGGGGTGCGCACAGTGGTAGGAGCCCCCCTATGCCCCTGGATGAGCTGCCCAGGCTCTGAGCATCCTACCACCAGGCCCAGCCAGGGCCCCATTCACCCCAGACCCTGCCCCTACCTGTGCCCTGCTCACCATGGGGGTCTCATTCTGCTCCCCGCCGCTTCCCCTGCACAGAATCGACTGATACTTGCCTGCTGTGCTGGGCAGCCAGTCATCCACATGGCGGGCTGTGATCCTAGCTTTGATCCTGGCTGCATGTGGGCCCCTCCCCACTCCTGCTGCAGCTGCCCAGAGCCTGTGGCTGGGCTGCCTTGATGCCCTACCCACTGCCCTGCATTTGGGGGACGCCTTCTGCCGTCTATGCCTTTCAGGCTTGCAAAGACAGTTTTACAAACACTATTATTACAAATCTTAAACCAAATCTCCTGTAAAAATGCTGTTCTTAACATCAGAGTGAGGCAAACTTTGACAGTTTTTTGTAACTCACCTTGAAGTAAAAATCCTTGCTGACCATTAATATAGCCTTCCCTAAATAAAACTACAAAGAACTAACACCTGCCACTAGATGCTATTCTTCATTTGAGAAATGTTCAATAAACAGATTTTCCTTAATAAGTGGGAAATACAAATGAACAGCAATACATCATTCCCTTGACATCTACCCCTAAACATTCCAAGTTAACAATGTGCCCATTTTCCCCAAAAGGAGTTAAACTAAAGTCAACTTACAATATGGTTACTAAAGAGACCTTGTGTGTTCAGAATCATCAGTTTAAGTGGCATTGATGTTTGACAAGATCAGGAAGGCAGAAGGCAAGGTAAAGGCGCACCTTATGGACTAACTGAATAGACTATTCAGTCTATAAGGTACGCCCCTGTAACTTGCTTTCTGCCTGACTTCAGACTAATATAGCTAACTACCTCTCTGCTCATGGGTGGCACCATGCTCAGCCATATGAAATGGACTGCAGTCAGTCTAACCAAGAAACTTGCTTGGGTGGTCAGGTGTCTTCTTTTTTTATTTGTGTTCTATACCAAGTACTAGTGTTACTCCAGAAAGGCCCACTCAAGTTTTATTTTCTGCTTCCATGCCTCTAAGGCCTGCCCCCATGAGTCTATGGGATACTAAAAATGGTAGCTAGGTCCTGTACAGGCTCTCCAGTTGAAATCCTACTTTTTTCCTGTGAAGCTGCCATAGCGGAGGGAGGCAGAGGCTCCTGGAGTTCTGGCCTTGTTCCAGCCTGTGGCTGGCTGAGCATACAACTGTGTAGCTATGTTACAACGTGTAACTAGTTTACCAGAAAAAATGACCAACTAATTTTCTTTGCAAAGCTACTTATTCATAGTGATCCATGAATACAAAAGGTAACACCCTCCCTCTCACCCTCACGGTCTGTTCCTGTCACTCAGCTTGCATATGGTTTGAATGTGTAGCTCTGGTGCCTCTGTTTTGCCGGTAGCTATAATCCTATTAAAATGTTGCTAACTTAATTGTTTAAAAAAACTGCCATTCCCTAATAAGTGTAAGATGCCGCACAAAGGGCTCCTTTTCAGAGGCACGTGTTTAACATAGTGCAACAATCGGCAGAATCATTCTGGTCCCCTTATCGCTTTCCTACTGCAGGTTTAAAGCAGATCTTGTTTATTATTCTTTTGCAAACCACTGTGAGATCTTTGAAGTGGTTGGGCTTCTTGAGACATTAGGCACAGGCCTGCACCTGGTGTGAAGCAGGCTGAGCAACTTTAATGTTAAACAAACAGCCATCCCAGCTGAGGACAATGTATGAGTTATTGATAATGGCAGCCAGGACATCCGCTATCCATCCAAAGCAAACTATATGTTGTCTTAGAAAAGCAATTTGGAGCTGCACTTTCTATTCAGACCAGTCTGATGTATTTAAACAAAGACTCTATTCTTTAATGTTAAAAAAAAGGAATCCTTTAATGTATAGGATGTGTCCAGATGTGTGATTTCCCCCTTTTTGGGCTTTTTATGCTTTTTATTATGCCTCTGGTGCCTGCCTATGCCCTACTCTTAAAACAGTACACATCTGAGACATTCTCTTTCTTACAGTCAAATCAATACCACTTGCTGGGTAATCAAGTGAGAAGCACACTAAAGTGCTTAAAGAGCATACACCAATTCCAATAAATACCACAGGCTGTGCTATATGGATCTTTAAAAATCCAGTCACTATTTTGTCTTCACAAAGAAAGTTACAATTGGTTCATAGTTTTCTTTTGTTTTCTGCTTAAAGATGAGTGAGTTTTCTCCTCTCCTCTTCTTGGCAAACGTAGTAATTTTGACCTTAGAATCATTTTTTTAAAACACAAAATTTTCCCACAGGAGCAGAATTGCTAATCAGTTTTATGATTTCTGATTCTTAAAATTCATTGGCATTAACATATGTCAAATTAAATTACTAAGGTAAATCCTGATTTTATTACTCAGACAAAACGTCACACAGGCCCACTTGGTCAATGGTGCCTGAACATGAACGTAGGGATTTAGCCCTTTGGAATCATCTTTTAGTATGTTTCTTGCGAGTAGGGTTGGTCTGTACAGCGTGGATTGTAGAGCCAAAGGAAATGTTTAATGGGTCAGCTTCACATTTAAAACATTTGTGTCCCTGTTTTGATTACACTGTCACTAGCTTGATCCCACTGATTTTGAAAGATGTCTCTGGTTCATACTGGTGTGAGTGAGGACAGAGTCAGATCCCTCATTTCCCTGGAAACAAAGGCTCACATCCCAGCAGGATAAACTCTGCCTTTGGTAATGTCCAAGCAGACACATTTAGTAACATGGGGCTCCTAAAGACGTGTGGGGAGCCTGCTCCGATGTATTGGAAATCCAGTGTGTTGGAGCAGACTTGATTAATCGAGCCTGCTGGAGCACAGAAATTAACATGCTCCAGCAGCCTTCCACGTCATGTGTATCAGCGTCCCCGTGCATCCCTACATGGAAAAAATGGTGGTGGGGTGCTTTGAAATAAAACATGTTCGATGAGCTTTAGTTCAAACCACCATGCTGCCATTTTTTCAGCATGGGGACGCTGCTACACGACACGAGGGCACTTTTCGTTAGCGTGGCTTGCTAATTAAAGTGTCCAGCGCTATGTCCCAGAGCCTGTGTAAAAATGCCCATGGAGGTTATTCTGTAGGGAGGACTTTGCTATAGAGATTTAAAAGGAAATATTTTGTTTGCTCAATACGGACACTAAGGATCCCATGAAAGTTCATACATATGAAATTGGCTCCTATTACTGTGTTCACTTGATACTAAGATGACGTTCTCCCTCCCATTTAACATGAGGGAAAAAGCCCCATCATTTTAAAATCTAGTACCAGGGCAGCAGGGGCCAAGTGGCAGCTGTGGCTTGGGCTCCAGCCCCTACCCAGACTTGGGGTTGTGGCCACAGCTGCTGCCTGTTCCATTTCCCCCCTGCCACCTCTGTACCCCACCATCTCCCCCACTACCATTCAGCCTCTCCTCCCTCACCTGTCCTTCTCTTCCCCACCTTACCTTAGATCCATACTGGCAGACTCCATGCGCACTAGAGCCTGGGGCACTGAGCATGGGCCCAACCCAGCCCCGTAGCAGTGGCATACAGCCTATACATCTACTACAGGGCCGGGCTGGGTCCATGTTCAGTGCCCCAGACTAGAATGGGAACAGAGCTTGCTAGCATGGAGCAAGGATATGATGGGGGGAGTAGAGACTGGGGTAAAGGGGGCAGGAGGAGGAGCAGGAGTGGAGAAGAAAAGGGTAGCCTGAAGGTACAAGGGGGCAAGCATGGGGCAGAGGTGGCAGGGGGGCAAGCACAAGCAGGGAGCAATCTGCTTGAACTCCCTATATTACCTGCCTCCACTTTCTCTCCACCTGCAGTGGTCGGGAAAGGAATGAATTAAAGATGACCCCTCCCCACAATTAATTAGGTTATATACATGGGAAATTATAACAATTTATATTTTTCCATGTATAGAATCTAATTGTTGAGGACTGTCTTAAATTCAGGGTCATCTTAGATTTGAGTAAATATAGTATTTTGGCTTGGAGAAAGAGAGAGGAATTATTTCATGTCCCTGTCAGATGCTCAATGACTTTTTTATTGCTAGATAAGTTAAAGAGAACTGTATAGTTTGCAAAAGGTAACCAGCACCTGACAGGATCATAGGAAAATAGGGCTGGAATGGATCTCACAAAGTCATCCAGTCCAGTCCCCTGCCCGAGGCAGGATCATCCCCACAGGTCTATCTAACCTGCTTTTGAAAACTTTCAAAGATGGATGGTGCAGCACTTGGCAGTATAAGCCTGCTATGCAGGATTGCCTGCAGTGAATTAGGTATGCTGCCAATCCTGATTGCCAAAATAACTGTTTGCTTTATATCACTATCACTAACATTAAGTTAATGGACAAGCCTCTCCTGACAAATAGACCAGATCTCCAGCTGCTAAAAACTGGGGTAGCTCCAATGAGGGCAAAATAGCTTTGTCAGCTTATACCTGCTAAGGATCTGCTGGATGACTTCTGATGTTCATTGGTGTGAAAGCAGTTGGGAGTAAATGTAATTGTAATTAGTGAATGAATGACAAGATAATTTCAAAACCAAAAGTCTAATGCCAGTCCTACCTCCAGTCTGGTTCTGTCTACATCCTTAGGTAGTTTCACCCGAACTCGATTTGTTACAATAAGCGTTTCATAAGGATAGATCTGTCAGAAAGAAAAGAATTTGTGAGTTCTACTGAAATATGCATCTGCAGTGTGCAAATGGCAGTGTGTAACTTACTAGTGTAAACGGTACATACTTGTATCCATATTTGACACAAACATTTCACATGGACACAATAAGAAAAAGGAACACATTTAACCTTGCTAGGATGGGCTGAATCTGAGCTTTCTTCCAGTGTTGGAATGTCACGTCTTACCTTGTATTCTGTAAGAAAACAAGAGATTTGATGTGTTAGAATTTGTAGGTTTATTTTACAATCAGACAAGAGAATAGTTAGCAGAGATGTCTTGTTTACAGGACTCTATTTTCCTTACATTTTTTCTGGGTAACTTCATGCCTTTTGACCATGGTGCTCTGGATGTCCCTAACCTTATCCACTGCTGAAACCATGATTTTGGAAATCTACATCAAGGAACACAGAAGATTGTTTCCTGACGCCATGGGGTTAAAGCTGTATGTCTGGTACTCCAGACATATAGGATATTCAATCTTCTCAAATGCCTTGTGTGTGTGATAATTTGATCTCTTACCTAAAAACCCCTCCTTTATTTTTCTTTACTAACAATCATTAAACCTATGGATTATTACAGACACTGCATTTGGGGAACATATGAAAATCATCAAGTTAATAGAATGTTCCAAAATGCCAACACCCTACACTTGGACCAACCAAAGTGGAAATAATGATAGCACTGAAAATAGCAAGAGATTTGTCTGTGTGTTTTTTTCTTTTCCTAAGGCTACTGGGCCTAAACTTGCCCAAGAATATTCTAGTTAGGTCATTGTCACTCGATATGAATACCACATGGCCAGCAACTTCCATGTGACTCTGATGCTTAAAAAGACAACCAAGATAGTGAACGACTTGTAAAAAACTTTTATTGTTGAGGTATTTTAAATGAGAATCTACTCTTTAAAGTCACACTCTTTTCTACTCAAATTATGAGACAAAATACAAAAATCCCCAGTAGACATATAGTAAAGCCTGAGGGTGAGATTTTCAGAAAACTGTAAATGATTTAGGAGCACAGCTTCAATGGGTCTGTGGACAGATATATCTCTCAGCTATTTTAAAAAGGGAGTGGGAGTTGCTGCCTAGAAGTACATGTTGCTTTTATGATGTAACTGTCTGCATGCTCCTATATCAGTACAAATGAGCTATATTAGTGTAACTTTAACCCAGAGTGAAACAGGAGCTATCAGATGTAACAGTTAGTTACATAGTAACAGCTTATCTCAGTATCATACCATACTGGTATAATTGCTACATCTGTCTTTACCAGAGGTGGTGAATCAACAGGCCGTGGGCCAGATCCAGCCCATGGCACCATGTCATCTGGCCCACAGTGATCCCCATGGGTCCAGAAATCTGACAACAGGGAGGGGTGGCACTCCTCCCCGGCTTCCAAATTTCCAGAGCCCCGGGGAGCTCCAGGCCCTGTGTGCTAGATTGGGTTCCTGATCCCAGTGCACAGGGCCAGGTCAGGGTGGTGTTGGACCCCAGGGCCTAATCCCAATGTGGTGGGCTGAGAGGGGGCAGCACCAGGCCCCTGGGGCCCAATCCTGGTGCGCGGGGCAGGAAGGGGCAGTGCCAGGCCCCAGGGCCTGATCCTGGTACATGGGGCTGAATATGGCTTGGGGACTGGTCACATGTCGCTCATCTGGCCTGTGGAAAAGATTGAGTGCCACTGGTCTTTATGCACCTAAATCATCTAGTCTTTTGAAAATCCTACCCCAAGTCTATATTCTGATTCATGATCATACTAATTTCCAGTAAGGTAAGTTAATGCAGATAGGTACAACTTTTTGACATCCTATAAAGGGTTCAGGTCCATGGTAACAGAGAGATTAAGCCCAATGTATATACTTTTGTCATGAGTCATCTGTTGCAAGGTTGACTGACCCGAACTTCCTCTCTTCCTTTGCAATGAGAATATCACCAGTTAACTGAAGAGAACAATGAAGGCCACTGCCAATCATGAGTGATTCTGGGCCTGACCCAAGACTCTGTTACACTAGTTTTATGATGACAGGACATCATTGAAGCCCATCATTCTCAGTAAGGTAAAAATGACACTAGCAGTTGATTTTCTGCAACAGGGACATTGCTAAGCTGTGCCACTGTTAACAGAATCCTTGGAGGATCTTAGATAGGTAGCTGTTGTGGCAAGATGTTAGCAAATGCCTCAAAAGTAACAAAACCATGAAGTATAGAGCATCTGATATTGTGGTGCAAAGTACCTTTCATCCCCCAACTGGCATCCTGGTCTGTTTCATATTGGCTCATATTTTCAGGCTGGAAGACAAATAAATAAAGTGTAGCAATAAAATACACCACCCAAGCAACACCCACTTGGAGTACAGAACACTGTAGGGAGCAAGAAAAATAAAAAAAGAAAGCCTACCTGTGTGATGAAAATTTAAATCTTTACAAGGCAAACTACAGTTTCAGTATGGCACAGTATCATTTTTCAGAGCAGGCAACCAAGGCAGCCACACCTGACATCCATGTGCAAGTGCAGAGATGAGATCATGCCAATGGAACATAAGCAGTGTTGAGCAAATTACTGTCACCCACAGCTGCACCCATGCTTGCAGGTATAGTTTGCGGCTATGCAACAAATGTCCAGAGATCAGGCAAATGCAGAGCCTGGGTATCCTTAGGAATCCTGCAACACTCTCCACTTCAACAACCCTCCTCCAAGATCAAAATGACTCAATATTGCCATTTCATTCTGCCTTAAGCCCCAAGTTAAAAAAATAAATCAAAACAAACTCTCGAATTTACACGACATCTTACACCCCATCTTGCATGGGGCACACAATCCTGCTTTGAGTAGTCAACTGGATAAGGTCCCTTCCAACCTTACTTTCCTATGAACCTAAAAGGGAGAAACACTAGGGACTCGCTAACGCCTAACAGGGACTTCATTAATGCTGTTTTATGTGGAAGATGCTCAGATGCCAAAATAAACAAACAGAGGGAGATGGGGCCAGGTCCTTGACTTCTATTCCCTGTGCATCCTGAGACTGCTTCAACTAGCCTGCCAATCCCTGGAAGCACCAAACATAAGAGAGGTGGAAGTGGGGGAAGAAAGGTACTTATATCCCCCCAGTAAGTGTACTGGTTTTGAAGTCTTGGCACCTGGGCTAATGTCTAGGCATGGGCTCTACCATGCCCTCTGCTGCACTATGCCCTGCCCTGACAGCAACCTAACAGAATGGGCTTCCCCAAAACTGTGCACTGTGCCATGCTGCTCTGCTCTGCCACATGTCCTCCCCTCCTTCCCTCATCACGGGACCGAAAGTAGAAGCCAGAGGAAGGGGAAACCTGGAGCTTCTGGAAAATGGTAGCTGGGTGGAAGCCCTGGGGTGGGGAGAATAAACTAACCCCTCACGGGCTGCCAGTTGGACAGCTTGGACATAGACTAAGGGATTAATATATCTAAACCGCATGGAAATGTAGTGGGGAATTGGGTGCCTAAATAATTTAGGCTCTTTTGGATATCTTAATACAAACGTAGACTTTTGCTGCACAAATGCAGCCACAGGCAAGTTGTGCACACACAAGAAATAGTTGTGCACAAACAATACAACATATTTTTGAGCCCGTCACTTCCTCATTGACGAGTGCTATGATGATCTGTTGACCAATATTACAGTGTACTGGAAAAACAGTACTTTTATGTGATTCCTGAGTTTCATTCTTGCTTATTAGGGGAGGAATCATGTACATGGTTATGTTTATAAAACCTGTAGGACCCTCTTTTTTGTTTTATCTTATTATTCAGCACTGGGAGGACTGATTAAAACAACAGAGCACAAAAGTTCATACAAGTCTGCATTCCAAACACAGAATATCCATGCTGAAAAGAATGCTACAGTTTTGGCCTAAAGGACTTGACCGGGAACAACCTTTTCAACTTCCATGCAGTTTTCAAGTTTGCTGTTGCACCATTTAGATGAGAGAAATGCTGCCATCTGCTGTTCTTGAATGTCTATTGCATGGCTGAAATCTGACTAGCAAAAGATCTCCAGGACTTGTATTTGGTATAGAATAATTTATAATTTGTTTTTGTCCTTCCCCCTATAGTGGCTGCATACTTCTGGCCAAGCAGAGATAAGTCCATGCACAAGTCAGCAAGCAGAGGCCATAACTGGGACTTTGGTAGCTCTTTCTCTCTCCCTTGTACCCACATAGAAATCATAGAGAAGTAGGGCTGAAAGGGACCTCCAGAGGTCATCTGATCCAGTGGTTCTCAAACTTTTTTGTACCAGGACCCATTTGTAAACATTGATGGCCAGTCCCAACCCAATTAACAGTTTTAGCAGAAAACAATCCTGGCCCTATCAGTGCCCCTCATTCCCACCCACAGCCCCGCACCCCTGCTGCTGCCCCTCACTCCTGCCCCCCTGCCCCCAGGCCTCATCCCCCCAGTGTGTGGGCCAGTGGTTGTATGAGGGGTGGGGCATGGGGGGGGAGCACATTACCTCCAGATTTGTGTACCCATAGCAGGCAATGGGGCTAGCTAGACTGGTAGGAGCTACCTCCATGGCCTAATGGGCAGGACTCAATGCAGGAGGGCGGAGCAGGCCAGTGAGACTCATTGCTGCCACCACTGCCGGGACCCCCATTCCAATAAACAGTTTTAGTAGGAAACAACCGTGGCCCTACCAGGCAAGGAATTTCTTTTGTGTTGAGACTGCTCTGTGACCCTGCAAATTTGCCTCAAAACAAAAGGCTGGAGCAAGGGTGTCAGCTTTCAGGTCTCAAGGTTTTGAATTTCACTTCCTTTCAGGTCTCAAGGTGTTGAATCAAAAGGAAGCAAAATTCAAATTCCTTGCCCAAGAGAGCCTTCCATCACCATCTTCCTGTGAAATATGAAACATCGTAACAAGAAAGAAGCATAATTCAACATCCTACTTGCCATCAGACAACTCTGAGGTAAACAGACTGCTCCGACTTTTATATAAGCCTATTTTGCATAAAATGAACTTTTCCAACTAGGAGATCTTACAGCATCTTCCAGCTCTTCTGTGAAATATGAATTTTCATTTCCACTTGGGAGAAATTTTACAATCTTTGCATTCTCCTATGCCTAAGGAAGGGTGTGTATGCCTGAAAGCTTGCAAATAAAGAAATTTTTTGCAACTATCTAGTTGGTTTAATAAAAGATATCACCTTCCCAAGAGTTCTGAAATATAAATTCAACATTTCTGTCAATTTCTAGCACTTCCAATCTTGCTGCCCCCGAGAATGATCTGTAGCCTATCTGTTTGGTAAAATACACCCTAGCCAAGATCACATACATTTCCTGCTGTCAAGTTCTTTTTGGAGACATTAGCATAGCAATTATTAATATTAACTGTATTGGAGTAGCACCTAGAAACCCCAGGATCCCACTCATCTTTGTTGTGCTTTCATATAGACACAGAATTAAAAGATGGTCTCCAGCCCAAAGAATTTATTGTAAATATAATCAGACTCAGGGGAAAAGTATTTTTGCTACTGAGGGCTCTCTCATTACACATTTTACTGCCCTTCTCTTTCTGTCGCTCTCTTTTCATCACCCTTAAAAATGAACCCTAATAAAAACTGGGCAATATTTCTGAGTGTGCATTGGAGAAAATCAGACTACTCAGTTCAGGAAATGCAATCTGTCTGTTGAGTGTTCACCTCTAGCATATGACAGTTATTTTGTCTTAAATACATCCCCATCTACAATTAAGGCAAACTTTATTGACTTCTACTAATATGTGCAGACTACACACTTTGCATTTGTTTTGGATGAAGAAGCAAGATTCCTAATACTTGTGTCACACAAAATTAAAAAGCGAGAAGCCTCAATTTGGATGACTGCTGCAAAAGGACATAGCTGAAACCCCTCAGCATATGAATATGTCATGCAAGAGTGGTAGCCAAAAAGTCTTTGAAGTACTCTATGCTGTTACTTTGTGATTATTTAACAAGTTACTAAGCTGTTTATTAATGTTATGATATTACTTGCTGCATTGCCTTTTAGCTGCATACCTACCCGATGTAAACCATTCTTTCCATAGCCAGGAAGAGAAGCAGATTTGGAATATGGAAATCCTGAAAAAGATGCAATGTATATAGAGATTTTTAGCAAGCCTCTTTACATTGGATTCATATGTACAAGTACAGAGGGCAAGAAAACAATCAGACAAACCTCTGAGATATATTTAAATTGCAGGACACATTACAGCTATGTGTGGCTTTTGTTACTGCTACAAGAGATTTTTTTTAAAGATATAGAGCTATACCTGTAAATCATATTTTGTCATGATGTGATCATGTTAGACCTCATAAGGCTTTCTCTGGGAAGAGACTCAGGAAGATCTGTATGTTGAGGAAAGATATCTAAGGAATAACAGGATACTAGTGCTGCATCTGAAAACTGTGAAAGCTTGGACAGTGTGTCTTGTACAAAACTACAAGGCAGCGGCTGGGCCAAGACTGGGTTGTGGTAACAAGCCCACCACAAAGAAAATCAAACTTCGCTAGTGGCTTGCAATCCATTAGGCCTAAGAGAGAGTGGAGCCTTGCAGTACTCAATGCCAGACCCATACCATAAGATAATAACAGTCATAATAACAGTCCTCAACCTTCTACCACACCTGAGCCTAAAAAAATAAGTGGTGTTTAAAAGTATTGGCAGAGACCTAACCCACTCATTACACAAATGTAACAAGACTCCAAGAGCAAGCCAGAAAGCCAAGTGGCTTGGGGAGAAACCCACAAACTACATCTAAATCTCAATTGAGCCAAATGTCACTAAAGAAAGCAGAAGAAGTAAAATATCCACTTCAAAGCAAAGCCTGTAAGAGACAAGAAAAGTCAAGGTGCATTGAAAACATGTCTGTAAATATAGCCTGGTTAACACATTCCCGCTTTGATTAAGACCTATTTCCAAAGCAAACATCCAATATCTGTCTAAAGTTTTATGCTAAATCAATCTATGTGACTGCATCTAACCTACCTCACACCTACTGTATGATCCTCACTGCCTCACATTTGCATTTATTAATTAAAGCATATTTCTCAAAATAGGCAGTCAATTTCTAAATATTTATTATGCTAAACCAGTGTGTATTCTCCTGAAACTCACACCTACTGTATCCAGTGGTCTCTGATCGTCACTATCTCCATAAGCCATTTGATGCAGCTATTTATTAGGCTCCATTTTTAAAATAACGACTGAAAAATAGTATTTTGTGTTTAACTTCCTAAAGGTACCTCATTCAATCAATACCCATCCTATATGATTCCAAACTGATTAAAAGCTTGCAAACTTCACAAGAGACACAAATAGGATACAATTGTAATATGTTAACTCTGGCCTTGCCTGCTTTGTTGGGACTTTGATTAACCAGCTATCAAGAAGGAGTGCTTTGAAGCTATACAATTAAAACAGTATAAACAGCAAGACAGAACTGACAGCAAGGTATGTGCAGTCCAGGGAAGATTAAGACGCTATCCTGCCCCACCCAGCACACGAGTAAAGGATCCACACTGTGAGGCTGTACAAGAACTGCTTCCTGCCTGCATTGGGTAAAGTTCTCTTTGTAGCTAAGATAATACAGGGATTAACAGCTCATTT